ATGGAGAGACAACTAGACTCAAAGCTAGGAAGATCTGAGATGAAATCTTATTTCTGACACATCCTAGCAATGTGTTCTAACAAATCTCTTGACCTCTCAGTGTTCTAGCAATCCTTTATGACAATAAGTTGCAGAGAAGGTGCCAATGCCAACCTGCTCTGGTAGAGGGAGCTTCTTCTCCCAGAATTCCTAATATAAATAAATCTCAAGTCCATTCCTTGTCACTATGCCTATCACATTGTTAGTACACTAAAAATCCCAAGGTCATTCTTAGACCTCTGTCCTATACTTCGGTAGTTGAATATTTGAGCCCAAGTATAAGACTTTTTTATATTTATCCCTTTTGTTTTTCACCTTGTTAGAATTGACCCAATGTTCTAGCCTGTCAACATTTTTTTGGTACCTGATTTTGTCATTCAGTATATTAGCTGTCCCTCCTAGCATTGTTATCTGCAAATTTGACAAACATGACATTTATGTCTATGTAAGTCATTGAAAGTAATGTAGAACAGCATAGGCCAAACACAGATCCCCGAGACACTCTGCTAGAAATTTCCTTCCATGATAACATTGGCCCATTAATGACTACTCTTTGAGCATGACCATTCAACCAGTTCAGAATTTGCCTAACTGTTCTATCATCTAGCCCTCAGCTTTCTATTTTATCAAATGCCTTGCTAAAACTAAGTAAACTCACAACATGAATAATATGGAAATGTTTTACATGATTGCACATGTATAACCTGTATAAAATTGCTTACTGTCTCAGGGAGGAAGGAGGAAAGGGCAGAAGGGAGAGAATTTGGAACTCAAATTTTTAAAAAACAAATAATAAAAATTGGTTTTACATGCAATTGGGAAAAAAGTCTAAGTAAACTAAGTAAACTATTTCTATAGCTATAGCAAAAATGATTTCCCTTTATCTGCTTAGTAAACCTGTCAAAAAAGGAAATTGGGTTTGTCTGGTATGACCTGTTCTTGATGAAGTCATACTGCCTCTCTATGATCAACACTCTTTTTTCCCTCGATGTCCACCAAGTATTCTTTTGCTGATACACTCTAGAATTTTTCCAAGTATCTAAGTCAAGGTCACTGGCCTATAATTTCCTTGCTCCATTCTTCTCCCTCTTTTGAAAGCTGGAACAATATTTGTCCTTCTCCCAGACTTACAGAACCAGTGCTACTCTAGCCATACCAGGCCTGGAGTCTCAGACATGACCCTGAGAGGTCACCTTTTCTGACATCCTGCCTGATGAATTAATCCTTCCTATATGATCCTAACAAGTAATCAGTCATCTTACCAAACAAAAACAAAACAAAACAAAAAAACAAAAACCAAAACAAACAACTTCTTCCTGACTTCTGCTCCTCCAGCTCACTACTGGCTTGCATAAGCTGTTCTGAAACCCACCAATAACTACAGCACATGCGAAAGAAGCCAGAACAAAAGATAGAAGATGAACCGATGGAGAAGGGGAAGGAGGGAATGGTAAAAGAGATATATTTTGGCAACAGATTTATCTTCCTAATTGTACTGAACTCAAACTGTTCTGTAGTACAATTAATCTGTTTCTCCTGCACTGACTGATTGCAGGGCCTGGGGAATATGCCAAGATTTAGGGGAAACCAGACTGAAATTTAACCACTAAATAGGTAATCCACTTGCAGATCAAATCCTAGAATACCATAGCTGAAAGAAACTTACAGATCATCTAGTGTAATCCATACTGGGAAACTGAGTCACATGTATGAGTCCTGAATCTCAATCCAATTGACCAATTCCCCACAATCTCAAAGATTAACCAGTCCACCATTAATGGCACCTTTGGACTTAGCCCTGCCTCAGAATTTAACTCCTGGTTTATATTTCTTCCTTATGCTTCCCCCTCCAACCACTCTTGTATTTTAAGGAGGATACAGCTTTTGATTTATGACTCTAGCTTTGTAAGGCCTAAAAACACCTTACATGAATCCTTCTGAGACTGAGATCAGTACTTAGTCTATGATTTCTATACATGCATACATATGTGTGTATATATGTATACACACACACACACACATATATATATATATATATATATATATAATTCTTTCACTAATGTGGATCATAACCCCTCTAGACCTTTTGTGCAATTCTTGCCCATGTTTCCCTATAAATCCTAATAGAAGAACTACCTAAACCTCAAGAGGCCTTTTTCTTTTCTTTTAGAGTCTTAGGGATACGAATGTACCCTCTGAGCCACACATTGTTGTCTTTTGTTATGACTCTATAACTGGTATATTTCTTCCCAGTCATACTCAATCATATCTTTGATGCCTCTTCCTGTTCATAAGTTGTCCCTGGTAATATGCTGTAGTTGGCTTGTGCTGATGTGTATCTTTCCATTTTCCTTATGGTTATTTTCAGTCTTAATTCTTTTGAGATGGGGTGTTTTGTGGTATGCCATTGAATGACATTATTGGAAGAATGCTGGTGCTAAAGGGGTTGTTTTTTTCTGCAGCAAACAATTTGGGAACATTTAAAACGCTGTGTAAATTCTTGTACTCAGTTCAGAGCCTAGATCCATTGTTCATCTCTATAGTGGCTCTTCAAAATACACACATAGGTGGGCTAATTTGAAAGCAGCATGTTGTAGCTTGGACAAGATGCTTTTTTGGGTCCGCTTTGTGTTTTCATCATGGAAGACTATATTGATCTCTTTCTCATTGTTGTAAATGTAAATGTCAGTAAAAAAGGCTTCATAGTGTTTCAAGGCTGTGTATACTTTTTAATATCACCATCAGTAGAGAATTCTTAAAAATATAGTATTTTGTTCTACCAAAGCAACCACTTTCTTAAAGTCATAAAACATAGCAGGAGATCTATTTTTTTATTTGGTCTAGAACCTTGATTTTATCGATATAGGTAATTCTCAATGAGGAAACTCAATGAGGTAATGCAAATCTACAACTCTTTTGCAACTCGTAACCTTCTGAGTGTTGCCTGGGAGCCCTGAGAAGTTAGGTGTCTTCCCTGGGATCATACAGCCAGTATGTGTCAGAAGCATGATTTGAACCTGGGTCTTCCTGCCTCTCAGGTTGGCTCTGCCTATCACACCATGCTATCTCTCAGTGGGCTCTTTCTTTCTATTTCCACATTCTTTCTATTTCTCACAAAAGGTCACTATAAAGATGTAGTCTGTTGTAGAAAACTACCAGCAAAAGACTGTTTCTATTTCTTATGTTTTCATTGAAAGCATACTTGATACATTCCTAGACAATTTCCATTTCTCATTTTATAGAGATTTAAGAGCAGGCATATGGAGTGATAATTGCTAATATCTTCCCAGATCCCATTTTTTTGGATAAAGCATGATCAACTTTTATATTCAAGTCAAACTAACAAGCATTTATTAAGTGCTTGCTATATGTTAAGTAACTGGAAGTAACCAAGTATCAAAATAAGTATTGACTTCTTGGGAGGATCTTAACAAGCTCTTCATAAAACTCTATTTCTTCATCTTCACCAATGGACATTAGCTTATAATTCTAGCTATGGTGATGGTGATGATGATGATAATGATGATAATGATGATGGTCTATTAGCTTATGCTTACCATGAATACTTAGAGCCACAATGACCTATTAACTTTTTTTTCAAATTCAGCTATTTGAATAATAGTAAATAATATTACAGAATTAGCTTCCATTTCCAGTGAAATACATTCCTTTGATATTACACTTAACTTTTTAAAAATCTTATTTTTATTGATGTCATTTGTTTTTTAATATCACCTTCATTTCCAATTATATCCCTTGCCTATTCCCTATACAACCGGCCATCCCTTATAAAAAGGTTTTTAAAAAGAAAGATGAAAAGCAATTCAGGAAAATTAATCAACACATCAATTATATCTGACAGAATATGTCATATTCCACACCCATAGTCCCCAACTTTTACAAAGAAAGAGGGAAGTTTCTGAACTCTTTTTCAGGGCCAAACTTGATCATTATAATTACACAGTGTTCAGGGGTTTTTGTTGTCATTGTTATTGTTCAATTTCCTCTTACATTGTTGTACTTATTGTGTATGTTGTTTTACTGCCTCTGCTTATTTCTCTTGGTATCTGTTCATGTAAGTCTTTTCATGCATCTTTGAATCCTTCATATTTGTTGTTTTATATGGTGCAGTAAAATTATGTTACGTTCATGTACCACAGTTTGTTTAGCTGTTGCCCAATTGATGATCATGTTTTTTTCCCCAGTTCTTTGCTATCCCCAAAACAGTGCTGCTATAAATAATGTGGTGTATATGGGAGCTTTCTTTCTGTCTTTAACTACCTTGGAATATATGTCTGTGTCAAAGGACCTGAATATTTTACTTACTCTTTTAACACAAGTCCAAATTACTGTCTGGAAATGTTGGCTCAATTCACAGCTCTGCCAATAGCATATATGTATGCTTGTCTTTTCACAGCCTGTCCAATATTGACTATTTTCATCTTTTGTCATCTTTGCCAACTTGCTTCATCATGAGACAAAACCCAGAGTTGTTTTGATGCATCTGTCTTATTTAGTGATGATTTGGAGTGTATGGTTTTTAATAGTTCGCAATTCTTTTGAGAACTACTGGTTCATATCCTTTGATCTCTTATCCAGTCCAATAGCTCTTGGACTGATAATTCTTTTTTTTTTTTTTGCTTCTGTGTACATGATGAAACAAAGTCTAATAGCTCCTTTATTAACCTCCCCAAGGACAGTTACCCTTCTATCTGGAACTTCAACCAAAAGTAGGTCACTTTATTGGTCTTTGGACAAAAGTCTGATACTGAGAAAACCAACACTTAAATCAATAAATGTAGATGGTTTAAGAATTGTGTGATTCTTAGCACCCTCTACCCTATTTTTTCCACTGTTATCACTGTAGAAGCAAAAGAGGGCTACATGTAGGTCATTTTGTGTTTTTATCTGTTTCCTGGGTTATTGTGGTAAGTAATAATAATGACGATAATGATAATTACCTGGTGGCCAACCTTCTAATGATGAACCTTTTTCACACTGGGAGGTTCTGGCGAGCACTTAGAGCCTGGGATTAGTCTTCCCAAACTGTAAACTTGGAAATGGAAGTTCATTGAGAGCATTTCAGGATGCTTCTGTTGGCAGAAAAAAAAATTGGTCTTTGTGTGGGCAATTCAATTCAGTTTAACAAATATTATCTAGAACCTCGGACAGTGAGCAGTTTAGCTTCCTTTTGCCTCACTCTGAAAAATGTGGCAATCTTAGCCCTTTCTTTAAAGGAATATGGTATTTTCCTCATCTCTATTATATAGAAAATACACTAGATTCGGAATCAGAAGGGATTTGAATTCCAGCTTCAATGCTTACTTTGTAATTAAGGGCCAATCATAACTTCTCTGATATCTAGTTTTCTCAAGTGTAAAATGAAGATAATGATAATTTTACCATTGACTTCATCTTAAAGTTCAACATAAATAGCACTATGTAAATAAATAGTAATAGATTATCAAAGCACTTTATGTGGTTTAACCTAAAGATCATTGCCTCCTTTGGATTTGTTGTTCCCTATCACTCTTAAGCTGTTACTATCTCTAGTTCAGGCTCAGCCTCCCTGGGGTTGAGTAGGTCATCCAGGTGGCCTTCAGGGACAGGCTATACTCACTGTATTTGTACGTCTTCATGTTGAAAATAAAAGCAAAGTGTTTCAAGGAAGCCAAGGACATGTTCCCATAAATGTCTCATTATAGGCCTTAGAGAGGGTGCTTGTTGGTACATCTGACTTGTAAAAAAGACCAACTCCCAACTGTCAAGAAGCCCAGTAGCCCAGCAGCCCAGCAGGGAAATTCTTATCTGTAAGGCCATAAAGCCATAAATCCTTGCCATATAAAAAACATCACAAAGCTGTGTCTTTTGGTGGGGAGGGGATCTGAGCTATGATGGGAAATAGAATTTGAAAGCAATATCTTTCAGGAGGGGCCCACTCTTCAGGAAGTGAAGGAGAAGAAATCCCTCAGAGCATCAGGGCTGTCCTCAGAAAGGGCAATAAGACATCTAAAACCTAATGAAACCAGGAAATGTCTTGTAAAACATAATATAGGTATATCATAGCATGGGCTACTCTGGACCAGGGTGTATATAAGATGATTCCGCCTTGGTGGATTCCAGCTCTGGATTTTTGGCCTGGGATATACAAGTCATTCTTGGGGTTTTCATGGAGACTCCGTAGGGCTCAGTTCTTACCTGTGCTCCTTGTGTCAATGATCACATGTACCCCAAAGTGGAGAAAAGAAAGGAATGGAACAGAAAGCCTATTCCTATGGGACCCACTGAGTTTCAGAGAATTCCAAGGCAAAATAAGATTTTCTACCCTACCCCAGGAAAGTGGGGAACAAGATTCCAAGCCTCATTGTTGTAATAGTAATTCTTTTTATTACCAGAGGAAAGGCTGAGAGAATGGAGCCATGTAGTATGCTCACATTGAGACTGGGAATCTTCTTTGGGACAGATACTTATGATAGAATTATTGTTTGGCTGGAAGGCCAGGCCCCAGAAAAGGTCATACACAAATGCTGGTGGGACTGTGGGAAAACAGGTACACTAATGCACTGTTGATGGAGCTTGAACTGGTCCAATTATTCTGGAAAGTAATTTGGAACTATGCCCCAAAAGCTTTTAAACCGTGCATCCCTTTGACCTAGCAATTCCACTGCTAGGTCTATACCCCAAAGGGATCAAAGAAAGAGAAAAAGGGCCCATTTATACAAAAATAATTATAGCAGTTCTATTCGTGGTGGCAAAGAATTGGAAACTGAGGGGTGCCCATCAAATTGGGAAAGGTTGAACAAGTTAAAGTATATAAATGTGATGGAATACTATTGTGCTATAAGAAATAATGAAGGGGATAGTTTCAGAAAAACATGGGAAGATTTGTATGAGTTGATCCAAAGTGAAGTGAGCAAAACTAAGAGAACAATTTATACAATAACAACAATATTGTAAAAATAAACCACTTCAACTTTGAAACTCTAATCAACACAATGACCTAACATAATTTCAAAGGACTTAAGATAAAACACGTTATTCACCTCCAGGCAGAGAGCTGATAGACTGAAGAGTGAAGATTGAAGCATGTTTTCTTCCTTCCTTCCTTCCTTCCTTCCTTCTTTCCTTTCTTTCTTCTTTCCTTAACATGGCTAATGCAGGAATTTGTTTTGCTTGATTATACATATTTGTAACGGGTTTTGTTTTTCTTGCCTTCTCAATGAGTGGGAGAAGAGGTAGGAGGGAGAAAAATTAAAACTTGAAATTCTTTAAGAATTGAATTTTTTGTTTTAAAAAAGAATAAAGTAGACCAGGAATCACTGGAATGCAGTATCCTGGGTGCCTACTGTATTTTCCACCTCAGGGAAAGTGCATCCTGATTAGCTCCTGTGGCTAGGGTTTTTTTGTTTTGTTTTGTTTTGTTTTTTAGTGTGCCCTTGAGATAGTGTGGTCTGTGCAGGCCCCAATATAAACAGGCAGGGTTATTGTGTGGCTGCCAAGCCAGGCACTGTGGCAGAGGATTAGTTTGGGAGGGGCAGGAGGATGGGGGACCTGCCACTCATCACCTAAGATTAAAATGCTTGAGAGCCAACTACCCTCAGTACTCAGGCCCAGAAAATTGGCCACATTTTTTCACAAGGCTGGAAAAGCAAGGAAAAGGAACATTTGCCAGTGACAATAAATAGGAATATTAATGTATCTCAGTAGATAAGGAAGAAACTTGGGACTTGGGAGTTGCAAACACTACACTATGCTCAGTAGTGGAACTTGGGCAAGCCACAAACTTCTCTTTACTCAAATAATGTCATGTAATCATAGAATGTCAGAGTTGAGGAAGGGCCTTGGAGATATTCTAGTCCATTAATACCTTATTTTTCACTCTTCTTTAATATACTACTAAGCCTTTCATAAGCAGGATGTTGGGCCACAGAGAAAAAGACAGCATTTATGTACCTTGATGACACCTAGAGGAGACAACACCCATACAGACAAGAAAGGATCTACTTTCCTCATAATGTAAGGATAAAATAATAGATTAAACATTTCAGGTAAAGTTTAAACTGCCATATAGATAAAGGGGGTTATAATGATTAAGTATTGATGGTGGGGTACAGATAGAAGGTCTAACGTCAGAGGACTAGAACAGTGTGAATTGGGTAGTCAGAGAAGGCTTCGTGAAGAAGGTAATAGCTGATATGGACCCTGAAGAGCGATAGTCGTGGTGTCAAACGATGTTAGATGTGAAAGAAATATTAGAGATCTAATCTAACAAACCCTTTCATTTTACAGATGAAGAAACAAGGGCCAGAAAAATGACTTTTCCAAGGATTTTCACCTTGATAACACCTCACTTCCAGTGAGGGTAAAGAATGGAGGCTAAAGGAAAGGAAAAATACCGGACCACTGAGCAAATAGTAAAGTTGAAAATAATCTGGTGTAATTAATATTGGAGTCAGGAGAATTGGGTTCAAGTCCACATTCACAGGATCATAGCTGTAGAGCTGGAAGGAATTCTAGTCCAACCCTTCTCATTTCACACATGAGAAACTGAGGCCCAGAAGGTTGAGTTGTCCAAAGTCGCAGATGTGGAATTTGAACTCAGGCCCTCTGACTCCACAGCCAAGGTTCTTTCTGTCGTACCATTTTGACACTTACTCTTTAGGCCTCTATAAATCACTTAACCTTTCGAATCTCAGTTTCCTTCTCTGTATAAAATGGAGATATCTCATACAACTGTTGAGAGGAAAGCATTTCACAAAGTGTAAAGTGCTAAAGCAATGTAAACCACTATTATTAGTAATACTCTGCTAACTTGCTGATCACTAATAGACATTAAGATGACAGTCAAATGTTATTAACTGAAGCCCTTTGAATCAAATCGTTAGTACAGTGGCTTAGGGCAAGTTTTCCTTTGCTCTTTCCGTGAATGTTTTGTTCAGTAAATTAATAGTATTAACAAGATTCAATTCAATTCAGCTAGTAATTGTGAATTGCTTCCACTGTGATGAACACCGATGGTACAATGACAAAAATAGTCCCTGCCCTCAAGAAGCCTACGTTCTACTGAGACTGCAGTGGAAGGACCTAGAAAGAGAACAGACAACTTGAGAACTAACTCTTTTCAAATACCTTCAGATACTTTAGAAGTACTTACTGGCATACAATGAAGAGATTAATTATATAGGAAGACCAAAGAGATATCGGGCTGCAGTTTGTTGCTGGGATGGGGTATAGGTCACCATCTTTTCCCACTAGCCTAGGCCCTGTGATTTGCATAGAACAGAGAACATGATGGGAAAAGGTTGAAATCAGTTCCCTTACCACAGTTTTGCTTTTCTCTTTTTCTGTTTAAATAGAACCCTGGGAATATTTACTTAAGCAAGGAAGCAGGGGTGGGGAAAGAAAGGGCATCAATAGAACTAAGAACTAAAATGGGTTTCTGGCCATATGTTAGATGAGTCCTGAACTGAGGGAGTTTGAAAGGATGCTACCAGAGAACCAAGATTCCAGGAGTAGACATGAACCTAACGTGGGCATTTCCTACCTGCTGTAAATAGTCTGCCTTGGGAAAATGATTCATAGCTCTTAGCTAAAAGAGATGTAACTATCCTTTGACTCTCTGCCATTTGCTTGTATTTTTCCTAGGTCTATACTCTGAGACCAAGCAAAACAAATATAATCCTTCTACATGACAGCCCTTCAAATAATATCATGTCTTTCTCACTCCCAACAGTTAGGGCACGGTCCCAAGTCCCTTCTGGGCACATTCTAATTTGTCAATGTCCTTTCTAAAATGTGGTCATCAGAACTGTGCACAGTGTCTTAGATGTGACTTGACTAGGGCACAATACAGTAGGACCATGACCTTCCTTTTCCTGGACACTAGATTTCTAATTTAATATTGTCTAAATTCAACTTAAATTTTTTAGCTGCTGTGTTTTTCTGCTGTTTCATCCTGAGCTTGAAGTTTACCACTAAACCTCCAAGTCTTTTTCAAGTGGACTGTCGTTTAATCTTGTTTCCTCAAACCTATATTCCCAAAGTTGATTTTGTTTTGTTTTGTTTTTTTGTTTTTAGGCAATTGGGGTTAAGT